TTCGCCGAAGTTTGTATTTTCTTAATCGCCATGGGGAGGGCGTTCAAGATCGACGAAACTGCGAGACCTATGGTAACGCAGGACCACTACGATCTAAATCGAATTATCTACAAAGATTAATTAGTCCGCGACCACCGAATAGTAACAATTGTCATATTTTGCGAGGTATCAGTTACAAAGGTATGCTCGATTCGATGCTCGGAATACGATGACCAAGAAAATGGATGGTTACGGAGCAAGACGATGTGTAATCGTGTTAGTCTCAATTCTGAACGATTTCCGTTCGACGCGGTACGACTGTATCATCGATGTATCTCTGTAACATTTTGCGTGTACTTTGTTATGACTGTGTACGTGTGAGAGAGTACTCATACCTTTCCTTCTCGGTATCGATCAACGCTGTAACGTTTTACATAGATAATTAATAAATACGTGACCACATATATGTAAATATAATTGTCGTTAATCTATAATAAAAAATAATGATAATAATCAGAATAATTCAAATATAATATTAATAAGTGCCGTTATCAACGTTACATTAGAAAAAGCATCTTTTACAGACAGGAACCTCGAGTTTGCTTAGTACCTTAGAAATAATTGTTGCATCGCGCTTCGCACGCCCCCTACGACCACTTAAACTTAATTTTTCCATCCGCTTCTCACCCCCTTCTCCGCCCCTCCCCCCCGGTACCCTCTCTCTTCCTGATTTACTTTCTCAGAAACCGAATCCGTTTGTCGTTTTGTTGTCCCGTTTCTGTACGCCTTTGCTCTGCCGTCGTCGTTCGCGATTCAAACACAACAAGCCCCCATTCTCGTGCGATCGCACCGAACGCGCAAACTACACGTCAACGCGACTCGCAACCGCGACGACACCGTTCGCCGTTGTTTGTGTTGGCATTGCCCGGTCTATCCCGTGATCGCCCGACGATCTTCCGTCAAGTGTTCGTTCAGATCATCCGAGAACAGCACGGATCGCCATTATTTCGAACGCGAGAAACACGACGTACGTACGCGTGCATACGCGTCACCGTTCCGGATATTACCCGCGAGGATTCTAGAGCGTTACAACATTATATATGTACATATGAGACATATATTGTGCATACGTATACCCGCACACGTACAATATACATCGCACACACATATATATTTATCTACTTAAATATATATATATATTTTATTTATTCATTTTTTATTCATTTATTCATATATATACGCAAGTATATATATGTATATATATATATATATTTATATTCTCCGCGCACGCACACATACGCCTATATACACATATAAATCTATATAAATGTATATATGCTCGCGCACGCGTGCGTCCGCCAGTCGTCTACCGATGCGTGTCCTTTCGTTTCCCTTAAAAACTATAGCATTAGCTGTAATTATCCGTAACTTACATCCTAATAGTGAATTCATCGTCGTTCCCGAGCAGATCTTTACAAAACCCTTTATCCGCGTCGGTCGAGAGGCGCGTGTGTTTCTCTCTCCTCTCTCTCGATCGCCTCGCGATCCAGTGCTGCGTTCGAGAAACACTTTCGAAATTGTTGAAAAATCGATATAACCAGCGCGCGCCGCGTTATTCTGTGCTTACCTTTGTCGTCTCTAAAGCCGCCGTCCGCACCCGTAACGTCTCTTTCCCTCTACCGTGAAACACTCCCCCGCGTACGCCCACGTCCGTCGATCCTTTTCGTCGATCGGCCCGGCGCGGGACGATCGGTTTCGGCGGGAAGAGAAAAGACGGGACACGACTGCCGGAAAATCCGTTCGCGTGCTAGCCGCAGTGCTCTTTCTCTCATTGCCAGCACTGTGAGCCCGATCGCGTACGTCAGATATACTCGACCGACCGACCGACCGATCGACCGATCGACCGACCGACCGACCGATCGATCGATCGTTCGATCTGTCTACTAGAGCACGATTATTACAGCTAATTGATAGCTATAACTATGATTCTTTATTACTATCATTATTTATTACTATGTTTATTGTTATCATTAGTATTATTATTAATCATTATTTTTCTGTTTAGCGTTATTAAATATAATTTATTAAATATAGGAACCATGTTGCTGGGTTTTGCTTGTTCGTGAACGCGAGCTGTGTGACACCGCGACGGGGCGCGGGGACAGGTCGCCGCCGCCTTGCGTCTCCGTATTATTTTATTTTTCCTTTTTCCATCCGTTTTGTTTCTCGTGTTTTCGATTATGCTCCGAACGCTGTTTCGTGAGAGTGTCGCGTCGTTCTCGGCCAGAACAGAAACAAAGAGGAGAGAGAGAGTAACGTTTAAAATTCGCTACGTCGCTAGCGAAATGTCATACTTAAACCCCACCCAGCTACGGGGTTACCGTGCCCTGTATACGTGTACGCGCGCGTGTCCTGTATGTATCTGTGTACGTATGCATTCATGTAGGCACGTACGCACGTGTACGTTAATTCGAACAATGTCTACACACGCATACGCAGATGCATAATGCGCCGGTGTTCGCGTACCGTGCGACCGCCTAAATGTGTGATCGCGTAATGTGTGACCGCGTAGTGTGTGATCGCGCGCGTGTCCCTGTCACGTGTTTACCTGTAAAAACGAACGCGCGTGACTCTGTGTGTGCAGGTGTGCGTGCGGGCCATCGGTCGAAGTTCACTTCTGCCACCGATTTTTCACGGGTCGCCGTAGACCATTCGTCGATCCACCCGTCGCTCATCCGCGCCAATCCCTCCGTCGTCCGCTTTCGCGTGAAAAGGGACGCGGCGGCGGCTCTACCGCAGTTCTCTTTCCTATTTCCCATCGGTATAGTTTAGCAAAGGCGTTTTCTCAGTGGTCATCGTCCTCGTCAAACGACACGCTCACTCCTCTCGCATACCGTCCGACACGCGGCTCCGTGTCTTTTTGTTCTCGTTCCGCGTAAACCACACATACACACGCACGTAAAAAAAGAAAGAGAGAGACAGAGAGATAGAGAGTGAAGATTTAGATGAATATGTACGTACGTATTCGTAATAATCGCGGCACTTTGCGTTCTCTTTTCATCGTTTCTCTTTTTTTTTGTTCTCCATTGCGAATGCCGTGCCCTCTACCCTACCTCACCGCGCGCCTTAACACGTCTGCCCTTTTCTTTAGTAACTCTTTTTTGCATTAAATTTTTATTATTACTTTACATAGGAACGTTTAAGTCAGCCCACCCCGACGCGTCATCCTGGCGTCGCCGTCAAGGGATGATCATCATCGTCGTCATCATCATCATTATCATCGTCATCATCGTCATCAGCATCATCATAATCAGCATCGTCATAATCATCATCGTCATAATGATCATCATCATCATCATCATAATCACCGTCGTCGTCGTCGTCATTATCAGCATCATCATCATCGTCACCATCATAATCGTAATCATAATCATCATCATTATCATCATCATCGTCCGTCCACTGCTCGTCGTATTCGTCCTGTCCGCGTGAAGCTCGTCCGAACGAGTCCGTCCATCTTCTACCCGCGGCGAGCGAAACAGCGTACTTTCACGGATACAATTTCGTCCCGAGCGTCATCGGTTTCATCGACGATCCGCCAAAGAAAGCTCTACCGGCCCGTGTATCATTATCATCATCATCATCATCATCATCATCATCATCATCATCATCATCATCATCATC